GACACATTCAGTCGGTGTCATGGTCTGCAAATTGTCCAGATCTCAACCCAATTGAAAACCTGTGGTGGAAATTGAAAAAAAAAGGTCCACAAGAAGGTCTCCGACCTGCAAAGCTGGTCTGGCAACTGCTATCAAAGAGAGTTGGCACCAAATTGATGAAGAATACTGTTTGTCACTCATCAAGTCCATGCCTCAGAGACTGCAAGCCGTTATAAAAGCCAAAGGTGGTGCAACTAAATACTAGTGATGTATTTTGAATCTGTTTTTCATGATTCCATACATTTTTCCTCAGAATTGAGTGATTCCATATTTTTTCCCTGTGCTTGGTCAATAAAAGTAACACTCACTGACTTGCACAACGTTTTCTCTTCATTTCTTTGAGTGTTCCTGAAAGCCAACAAGTTGTACTTTGAAATGACCTTGTTATTGTATCAAGTTTTTGATCTGAGTTTGTTTTACAGAATGAAATGTCTGAATGAGTGCTCATCCAAGACTGGTGATTCCATACTTTTTGCCAGGGGTTGTAGCAAAAATAATATTACTGTGCAACACACAAAAGTTTTTTTTTAATTATTTATTTTTTTATTTATTTTCAATTATAGGTTTTGAGGCTTTGGGCATATTTTATTTAGTGGGAGAAGCAGAAATGAACTTTTGATTGTACAAGTTGCAGATTTTGGCATAAACTGCTTGAGACACAAAGTCAAAGCTGTCTTTATATATTAAACAAATCTGAAATTATATAATGATTGCCAGGTAAATAAGTCAAACACAACAAGTTCTGTATTACTTTTGCTTGTATTTTAGTAAAAATAACTACATTTGGAAGTACAGCATCCTCTTACGATAATTAGAGACCTACAGAAACACTTTTTAAACCTAAATGTTGCTTTGTTTTGTTTAAACATGTAAACGGTTTGTTTATTGCAAAACAAAATTTGATCAAAATCTTACAGTTTTTGTATGTTTAATTTGTTTTCAAACAAGGGTCTAATTGATTAATGCTCATTCACTGATGACAATATGAACAGGGTTACTGAACAACAAAGAAAAATTTACATTTCTTATCTCACGTTACAGAAGTAAGTAACTTCAGTGGTACAATATATGAGCTATAAATAGACAGGCTTTTTTCATTTATACGTAGGTAATGTGAAAAATGCTTGCTTGAGCAAGTTTTAAAAGGTGCTGATTTTTAATGCACCAGGTAATAAACAGAGCCTGGAAAAAAAAAATTTTCTTCTTTTTTTTTCCAGGTGTTTATCCTAACCTGGGAAAAAAAAATCTAATTAAATTCCAGGTTTTTCAAACCTGTGTGGGAACCCTGGGACATTTATTAACTCACCCAGCTGAGTGCTGTCATCTAGTGGTCGAGTCCAAACAGAACGAACTGCCTGATGATACATGTGGCTCCTGGATATCTGGCAAACAGTGCTCCACAAGCTGTCCAGGGGTCTGTCCAGCTCTCCAGCCCCCAAAAAACTGTGGACAGACAGGTTGGAGGAAGGTCTGTAGTATGCCTGAATTCCTCGTTCTTCTCCTTGGTACCTAAATAAACACAGACTCAGTGTATCAGCACATAACACATTTGTAAAGAGAGTATTTGCTCCTCAACCGAGCTCACCTCCATCCTGCTGTGGCTTTGCCCATCATTAGGCTGCCAAAATCCCCAAAACAAGCCAATCTGACCTGGTGTAAAAAGATCAACACAATTAAACTATTATTTTTTTATACAGTGTGAAAAAATAACCAGAAAATTAATTTAATCTCTTGTGTAAAGTGCCTATTTAGTGTTTGAATAAATTATAGGTTATCGTCCTGTGGCTTAAGAAATTTACAATTTTTATTTTATTTTTTAAAGAAATTTACAAGCAAAATAAAAAAATGCATTCCCTTGCAAAAGATGCACCAGTTTGAAGCAAGAATTTCTGAAAAATCAATGGTAGCTTAAGATTTTTAGACAAATTTGACTGGAAACTGATAAATAAAATAATCAGGCACAGAGTCAAATTCTTTTATAATAAAATGTTTATTTAGTTCTTGTTTCCTGTGCACATTACCTCAGCCAGAACCTGATTGATGAGGCTGTTTGTGATGTTTTGATAGGCTGTAGATGCAGAAGAGGCGGAGCCAAAGGATGCAGCACGCTGACGAACACAAACTGGAGGCGATGGAGAGGAAACCAATGGTGGCTCAGGACCACTAACAGGTGGCTCGAGACTGACATCTGATAAAACAAGTTTATAAAGATTTATTTTATTGTTTTAAATTTTATAATAGAACAGAAAAAGACTTTAATAATAAAAAAAAGGTGTGCACAGTAACAACCAAGTGTGTCTCTTAACCTCCAAGCAAGGTAA